GCTTGTTTGTCTGAACCTTTAGGGTCAGCTCATGATAGGTTGCTTACATTCACATCACTCTGCTTATGCCAGAGTGCATTAGTGCATTGGCTAGGTACTCAAATGTGGCTGAATTTTTCAAGTCAATTGTAAATGTTCTAGTGGTAGACATAATGCATTTGTCGGGTGACAAATGAATACAGTTCCTGCTGCTGTTTCCTAGTAGACCTTGCATGCTGCATGGCTTCATAGCTGTTTGAAGAGATAGATGGACCCATGGAAAACATCACAGGCTTCTGCCACCTTTAATCAGTATAGGATGAATACAATCCGAAACATAGAAACCTGTACTAAAGTATCTGTTTAAACATGATCCAATGATCCAAAGAACATGCTACAAAAGGTGCTTACACATTCCAACATTTATTTTCTCCAGTGCCCTCAAGCACGTCAATTTAAAAATGGCTGTTTCTCATTCTGATGCCAAAGCTTCTCCATGTCCCCTCTCCCTAGCATCCCTCAGTATGGTGTTCTGAGCCTCTCCAATAAAGGAGAGGTTTCCATTGTGGCAGAGGTAGGGGAACATCTTGGGACTTTAGAGCTTCTTGAAAGGAAGTATTATTAGCCTATTAGTGGTTGGAATATGGAGCAGCAGAGGGCTGTATGAAGATGACCTATTTAGTGGTTTATGTAAGTGCAGCAGAAACTAGGGAAGATAGACCATGTACTGATGTACCGTCAATGTATTTGCAGCATTGAAGGAACTACCTTTACCTTTTCATTTCCTGAAATTGGAAAATTAGATTGGCCTTGGGGGGCATTTAGCCTCCGTAACCTCCATGCTAGCTCTTCCTTGTTAAGCAGCTCCGTGGATGTTTATAATGGGTCACAAGGCCTATTCCATTACTTGATTTCCGTATCCTACAGTTGTGGAACTCTTCTGTATTGTCTGTGCCTTGTCAGGACAAAGTATTACAACATTCCATGTTTCATGTGTCATGACATTGTTTAGCTTTGTGTTGTTGAAATAGCTGACCTTGTTTCATTGTGCTTTGTTTAGTTGTCTCATTTTACATGGGCTGCCAGTAATTGTAAAGAGGATATAAACAATGTCAATATTATGACTTAAACATTCTTTGTACATTAATAAAGTAAAAGCAGGATTTAGGTTTTACTCTAGTACAGTGTATACGATAATATACCCCTTGCTGGAAAGGATAAAGATATTAGGGATCACTGAATGGGTGCTAGAGGCTACATTTTCCTTTTAGGTGTTTTTTAAACATGAGGTCCAATGTCCCTCAGACTCTGGGTAATGGGTGTTAGTATCTCAGATCTTACCTGTATACATTTAAATCATATTTTTATATCACTAAATTAAATGCTATCTTTAATTGTCACTGCACTAATTCTCTTGACAATGTGTTCTTTTCTTTTTCTTTCTTTTAATGTTCTCCATGTTACCTTTAACATAATCTACAGATTTCGCTTTCAATCGCAATCTATTGGTGATCTGCTATGTATTAACCTTAAATGTACTAAAATATTAATTAATATAAAATCAATTTCTTTGTCAAATTTTCTCAAAAATTAAAATGTTTCATTAATGTTATAATCTTTTTATCTTTTTCAGCTTGTATTTATTAACACCTTTTATATTTGCTTACTTGTGGTTAATACCCATTGTTATATGTTTACCTTTTGATAGACATTCCCTACTGGAATATGAATGGAGGTTTGTACTGGCTGAGGCTTGCACAGATTATTCATGTACATGGTAAAGTTGTTTGCACTCTTAGACAAATAATTGTAATTCTTGATGATCACTTTACCATGGGTCTCTTATCTCTACTGTGGAGGTGGATATTTTGTACTACTGTTTAGTCATTTTGATATGAACTTGGTGCATTACCCTGGTGTGAGTCATAAAGCAATAGCAGCATTCTGCCCCACAGTAAGTGCTGATCGAAAACAACATAAGGGCACATTCAGACCTTTCCAGTGTGGTGTGAGAACACATCCATTAATGTGCACATTACCAAATGGTAAATGCGTTATGGTATTGCAGTGCCATTCATTTGTAATGGTACCCCAGCAAAATAAACCAATGCACCTACAAAGCATGCATTGCAGCACACCACAATGCATGGTTATACATACCACCATATATTATGTTGCCCTGCGTCTGAAAAAAATGGTGCATTTCCAAATTTTCAGTCTGTTCTTGTACTTGGCCAGCCCTTTTAAAAAAAAATTGGCTTCCTTAATGTAGCCCATGATGTGTGGGGGAAACCTGAATTAATGCATGAGCATTTAGACAACACTCTGGAACACATAGGTCTGAATGGGCCCATACAGGTTTTAGCCACTACCCCAAAATGCATAAATAAACCTGTCACCCTTGCCCAGCAGTAGCCTCCTCTCCATGGGCCAGATGGTGGGAACATATGTTGGGTTTTCAAAACCAGTTTCAGTTCTTGCCTTTGTGCACGACATGAATACCCCTGAGAAGATCCAAATCTAAGTTAATGGTAACCAGCCTGTGCAAGCCTCAGCAAGCTACCTGTGCTAGTTTTTTTTAAATCAACCAAATTCTTTTGCTGTTTTTTTATCATTAAAGGACCATGAAACTTATTTTGATGTATATATAATAGTTGAATGTTAATTATAATAGCTATTTACACTATACAAAGGGGCTATTTTTTAAAGCGTTCGTCCAGAATATAGCTGGGCGAATGTCTTTCGCATGACATACTGCCACTAGGTGGAGTTGGATGAGCATAGGAGTTTTGTATTCAACCCTTTCGCCATCTAGCAGCTGTACTGCCTTGTGAATGGCGTTCTCCCAGGTATACACTGGGACGAAGGTTCTAAAAATCAGCACCAGTATATGTGTGTAAAAAGACAATAAGAGCTGAATGTATTTGAGATAAAATTCTGATTCTGAAGGGAGATTTTTTCTCACTACTTGACTGACTTCTTGTTAGTAATGACTCCAATGCATACTGATAAATAAAATCTGCTGTATTTTTTGTGGGAATATATTTAAGATAGTAGTGATTAGTTACAATGAACTGAACTTATTCTTTAAAGTGGAAGACATTTCACTGCTTATCCAATTAGCTTTTTTATTTCTAATTGTTAGCGTTAGGAACATACCCCAGTATTTATAGCCAAATGGGTAACACAGCTACTTTAATCCAATCAATGTGGACTGTGACAGTGGGAACGTTTGTGAAACAACCCTGTTTTAATTACATATTGTAATTCCATTGATAATAAATATTAAGACTCTGGGATCCTATGCAAATTGACCTTCTGAAAGTTGGTATTTGCATAGGACTGAGCCCACACCTCCTTCTCTGCACCCTGAGTACAGTGTTTAGGTCATGAGGCACTACATTGCGGGAGGCTGCATGTGCACCCTTTACCCAAGACTTTCAAGAGGCTTCATCGGTAGATGGAAAGGCAGCTAGCACTATCGGGGTACCTACAGGTATATTATGTTACCTGCTGATGAGTATGAATGAATTACAGGTTTCCTTTAATACAAGCTTTGTCCAAGTAAGGGAACATTCCATATATGTACTTAGAAACATTTTATTTGAGGTAACTTGTGTTATTACTGGTGATTGAATGAGCAAACAACTGCCATTTGTAATGGTTCATTTCTACTGATGTATTTAAAACACCTAAAGTAGACTTTAACCTTATTCCAGCATGTTCATTTAAGACAGTGTTGCAGTAATGCTGTAAATAATTAGTGATCAAAAAAGGCTCACATTTGCATGTATGGCAAGATCTCATATCAGTAAAGTTGGGTATACATGGAGGGAATTTCAGACGATTTCGTAGGAATCAGCCAAAATTTGATCCATGGGTGGCCCTATTCCCTCAACAGAGGTTGATTGTTAGATCGACTTTTCCTGAAAGAACATGATGGAAAATTGTTGGCTGAACGGTACTTGCAGCAATGTACACAGCAGGAGATTCATTCATACACGCGATTAGAGGGGATGGAAGAATCTGTCATATATTTTTTTGCTCTGCCTTCAGGCTGGATGAAAAAAATATAACCATGTGTACCCAGCTAAAGAAACCAACTTTTCATGCAAACAAACCAACGTGCTCCCTTTCTTCCCAAGTGACTGTCTATTCAAAAGCTTTAGGCAGTGTAAAATGGCTTTCACATATCTATGGCTACTCTTAGTGTAGAGCCATCCCTAGACATCACAGCTGCAGTATTAAGCCATGCCCTTGGCGGGAACATTCAAAAAGTGCAAGATCTCTACATTATATTAATTTTCAAGTTTAGTCTTTTGCCATCAACCCTGTCTCGGTACATCATGGATTTACTTTTAATGGGAAATTGATGGGAAATAGTGTACATTGTTAGTGAGTTGAAGATAAACTGAATGCAATAGAGAACACACTAAGTGATGGTAGTTCTGGCATCATGTACTGCATCCTTTGATGATTGAGATTTAGACATTAGTCCTTAAAGGTTACAATGCAGCAGTAATTATTTCCTATATGTTATTACTTAAAATTATGGATAAACATATTAGCCCTTCTACTCTTGAATGAAAGTGTCCCTGAAGGTGTAATTATACTGCTCTAGGTCAAAGGACCAGTAAGTTTACAACACAAATTGCCTTACATAAAAACAATAACAAGAATAATAAGTTGTACATAAAAAAAAACCATACTCTGAAAGCACTAGTATACAGCAGAAAACAGTATACTCTTTGCAGGAAATGGGGAGGAGATGAATCTTAAATGGGATTACTAGCCTGCTTTCAGTAGCACAATATCCGTCCCCACAATCTTACCTTTATCTCAAATACTTTTATATCTTGTTAGCATCTCAAGCTCTTATTGTTGTTATTCATAGCTGTACTTTATAAGCGGGCTTGTATTTTGGGTTGATTGGCCCTTTCACTGACCTCTCTGAACTTGTAAGAAAGTTGCTGTCTGGGTCAGTAAAACAGCAGCATTGACATCTGTCTTTCATCACACAGGCCAGCGAGGAGGGGGTTTACTTAGTTGTTTCACGACAGACCAGACATCAGACCCCTGATATCTTGCAGGAGGCTGGTTGGCATAACAACAGCAGCCCGCCGCAATGTCCTAATGAGAGAAACCATTTTAACAAGGTATTTCACTTTTAGCAAAAGACCATTTTTGTATATTTTGTATTAAACTTCTACTGTATGATTCCCTTATTTAAAGGTTAAAGCGTATCTTGACAAAAAACAAAAATATTATCAATCCTTAGATGTGTTGGCTGCATGAAGCTGGCCATGTACTAGTAGATTTTTTTCATTCAGTCTGTGGGCTGAATTTAAAAAATCTACTGGATTCCTCCATCCACACTAAACAGCTTGGATAGGGGAATCCCCATTGCCGGGCTATTGTTTTCTCAGAGTGTACTGCTATCATAATAGCCAAACAGTGACTGAAGCTAATAGACTGCAGTTACTGTTCGGCCAACAATTTCTGCCTGGCTCCATTGATTTTCAGATTGAAGGATTTCAAGTGGGAGGCTGCCAAAAGGCCAACCACGGAGCAAATTTTGTCCAGTTCATCAATAACTAACCAAAATTAGCTCCGTGTACACTCAGCTACAGTTTTCTGACAAGGACACTGAAATTCTGGCAAGACAATACAGTTACTCTTCTGTATTTGCAGCAAATGTTCTCAGCCTGAAAAATAAAACTAATGTACCACCACATCTAAGAACTGAACTAAGTTAAACATTTTGTTTTAGGGTTTAACTATCCTTTAAGTATGATGCAAATGTGAACGCCATCTCAATTTGAACCTTGTACGAAACCTATCATTGGGAGAGGCAGTGTGGGGGAAATAAATTGCAGCATGATGGAGGTGTGCAGATCTGATGTGAAAACATGTTTGTGAAGTCCCTTTGGTTATTCTACTAATCTTCCATCATGTAGACAGCTAGAACAGTGTGACCAGCAAGGGGGGGAGATCACACAGCACCAGATCAATGGTACTGTAGAAATGGCTGTCTATGGATAGGGGCCAGGTGTCATGCAGAATCAAAGCGTATTTAACCACTTTGCGTCCAGAGCAATTTTTTCATTTTTGCACACATAAATCTGAAATGCTAGTTGTAATTTGTTATGTTGCGTGATATTTTCACACATTTATTTATTACTGGTATTTATATAACGCCGACACTTTTACACAGCACTTTACATAGTACACATTCACATCGGTCCCTGCCCTCAAGAAGATAAAAAATTAAGGTCTCTATCTCACATGCATACATACAGGGCCAATGTTTATCAAATCAACATTTTTGTGAAAAATACAATAAAATTAATATTAGTGCCCACAAACAGAACATAATACTCAGTTTTTGGTTAAATTTAATACAGGAGGTTGCGTAAGCTAACTAGATACCAAACACGTCAAGCCTTAAATTGAAATGGTGGCACTTTAAAAGTCCTTATTGTGCATCACTTTAGAGTGATTGATGGCCCAAAAATTATTGCTCTCACTCCAAAGTTTACAGCAATATGTAATATGTGTGCTACAATTGTTTTGTGTTGCAGCTACGCTCAAGTCTTTACATGATTCAAATAAATAAAAATACCGGGAAGACAGAACGATCAGTATAGTCAGCTGATTACCTGGGTTTGTTACATTTCTGAGCTGGTACTCCCCCCATGTTGATGGCAAGTCGGAGGCCTGGTTCACACCTGTACGTTTTGTACGCTCTACAAAACGCTCAAACATGAAAATCCCATTGTTTTCTATGGGTATGGTTCACACCTTGCCGTATTTCAGCCCGTCTGAACGTGCTACAAAACGGCCTACGCCTGAAAAGGTACATGAGCTTCTTTGCGGCGTTTTTGTCGCGTGTTTCCATTGGGATACAGGCAAGTAGCCCTCGGAAATGCGTGTTTGTCGTGCATTTTTTACTGTGAATCGCGGTAAAAACCCGCGTCACGAAACAAACGCGCATATTCGATACGCCTAGGTGTGAACAGAGCCGGAAACTGCAGTGATAATGGGGCACAGGAACTATTCCTGGAAGGCAACTATAATTTTACACATATGCGGCCCTCATCACCATCCACTGAAAGTAAAATGGTAGAATTTATCTGAGAAAAAATTGCATTATTTCTGTTTCGGGGGAGGATGGCTGTTTAAAGTGACACTCAGGAGTTAAATCTTAAAAATGCATTCAAGTACCTTAACTATTAACAAAAATGTACCTTATTTGTGTATCACTCGGCTGTAGATCCTCAAATCATCTCTGAATTGGTGCTGACACTGTCCTTCTTTCCTTCTGGAGGGGGGCTACTTTTGTTCCCCATGGCCCCTGTGTGTGTTGTAAAGTAAAACAGTAGAAAGGCATCATGGCACACTCACAAACCAGCATGTAAAACAACTTGTCTCACCACTAAGGATAATAACAGAGGTTTGGATACACGTCTTCTGCAGAGGATGTGAAAGCCGCACTGCCGCGCCAAGGCACCTCTTATAGTGCGGTCCTGTAAAGTAGTCACCGCTCCAAGCTTACTCTCATATTTAGTTTACTCATTTGTATTGAAATTGTAGGGCTTATAAATAGAACAGAACTCCAGACTCACCAGTCCCTTTCAGTATTTCACAGTGTAGGATTAATAGGAGCAAACTCTGACACTGGCTATTTGAGCAACAGCTGAAGAGGGATGGGTGTGAGATCTTCAATAGGAGAGACACCAGACTTGCTCCTGAGGTCCATTCGAATCCAGGCACCTCCAGCGGCTTCCCTGATTCTCCTCAATCAGTAGCAAAGGCCTCCTCCAGACTTGAGGCCTAGAGACGGGACAGCACTCCAACCAGTACTAACAGATGGCTGGAACCAGACTGAGCACATGGCAATTTCATTGAGTATATATGCCCTGTCCCAGCATGCACCACTGCCCATGAGAGCCCCAGTGATTGGCTGGTGGACTGAACACACACCCACAGTGTCCCCCAATGGCTGTCCCACACTGCAGCAGAGTCACACTCCACTCAGGCAGGTACAATCAATGCTAGAACATCTGGAAATAACCAGATAACTGCCAACTATTATTACAGCTCTGGCAATCACTACATTTCTAGTAGCCATTCCACAAAAGGTGGTGGGGGCTACACTACCTTACAACCAGTGTGGGAAAAGTGGTCATAGATATCAATACACTTCTTTAAATATGTATGCCAGAACTTCCTCTAACTACTTGCCTGTCTCTTCACAACTGATTTCAGATCACAGCTCCCTTGTAGAAGTTAATGAGCTTAGGGGTGCAGATCACCAAACAGCCCCCTCTGCCAAAGAGTCTCTTTCCTGGAGAACTTCTTTAAGCCCCATTCACACCTAATCTGTTGCATTGCTTTGCAGTGCAATGAGAAAAAAGTAGAGCATGCACTACTTTTTTCAGTATAACGTAACAAAATGGAACAACGGCGGATGTAATCGCAACGGAACGGAAGTAAAACAAAAAAAATGCCCACTCGGGATAGTTAATTAAAAAAAGATTGGCAAAAAAAAAAGAAAAACAGAATGGAAGTCAAAAGAGGTTGAAACTGCAACTCAATGGACCCTTCATTGACCTGCAATTTCCTTCCAATTTTGGTGTAAATGGGCCCTTAGCAATTTTGGATGGACATCTCCTGATGCTCTTTTATGAAGAAGCTTTTATTTTTATTTAACTGCCTTTTTTTCGATGACTACCCTGATTTCTAAAGCACTTAGGATTACTAATTTATTATCTGCTAATCTTCTCTTTCTATGTCATGACAAGTATTTCATACATTAGAGTTTAAAAGCAGCTGCCTTCATCTTGCAATAGATGTTTATTAAGAGTGAAACCGAGTCCCAATTTACTGCATAGGGTGTCAGTATACGATAAAATGGACCCATTCTAGGTCTGCTTCTTCTATCCTGGGTTCTGCAGATGTGAGCCAGGCTGTGTACAATGCTAGTCCTGTCTCTTATATCAAAATGTAACGTGTTATGGTAACAGCTGTAAGAGGCTTAACTTCTTTGCTGCGTCTGGATTAAAGCCTAGATCAAGAACCTTGTGACCACATCCCAGCATCTGGTTCATAGCACTCAGACTCCTCCAGCTATCATTCATCTTTATATTGAAGATGATTGGTCATTGAAGAAAACAAATGTTAGTGCAAGCCAGTGATTTGCATGCTGAGAAGTGGAGTGCACAGCTGGGTCACCAATCTGTCTGAGACAGGAGGAAGAAATGTCTCTCCCTAATGACGTGTTTAAGCAGCCATTCTTTAAACAAATACACATCTGGGCATACTGTTGATAGAAGGGAAATGTTGCAGTTGAATCAAAGTGACTTTAATAAAGCAGCCGTGTAATCATTGTGGTGAAGCGTTTGTAAACAGGACAAATCCAAAAGTTCTTCAGTATAAGCTTTTTTTGACAGTAAAATACATATTAGTTGTGGAAGAGGTAGCAGCACTTCTGCATATGTGAAATATGTTTATTGAAAGAGCCAGAACCATTCCTTTATGAGGCAAGATGAGAATTTTAGAATGTGCAGAACAAAACACTATTCTCCCCTCCTGCTTTCACCTACCATTTGCTTTTGAGGATAATGAGCAAACAGTAATGAAGAGTCTGCATCACAGAGGTTTCCTCAACGGCAAGTATGGTCACAACAGAAAATGATAGAGTATGGAAGAAAGGGATGGGGTTGCAGCAGAGACAGGTCCTAGCGCTTATGGGGTAGCTCTTTGGAAAAGAGATATAAGCTTATCACTAACCCACATACAGACTACCAATACTCCACCAAGGCTGAAATTTGTGCAAGTGCTCTGTGACAGTGCACTGTGCTAACTGTGCTGCCTTATGAGTATTGACCCACATGCATGCTACATGCTTCAAATCCTCAGCAAACAGCACAATATATGCATTGTACTGTCAATGTGTATGTGACCACCATATTTTAACATAATGGGGCATGTTAAGGAGCATCCAGTACCACACCTCTTTACATGCCTCACATTGGGTGAACATTACACCGGTAGTTCCGTTATTGTAACGTTGGATTGCACACAGCCCCTCATATCTATCAGAACAGTAACAGTAATTAAAAGCATAGAGTAATGATGTTTTATTCTGTAGAAA